GGGGGGCTTCGCTCCTGGCTCGCTCTTTTCTCTAAAGATAAGCCCAAACAACTGATCCTCACCACCTTTTTTTTTTTTTTAAGTTTGATAATGATACTTTGTCGGCTTTGAGATCTCAAACTTAAAATGGCTTTAGAAGAGCTGTGAGTTTATATCTGCTCTGTAGTTGGGCATCCCACACACTTCCCAAGCGTTACACCGGGATAAAATAGAGGAACAAAGAATTGCTCGTTGTAAAAAGCCAAAACGGCGGCGTGGCCTGCCTGCAGTGTTACCCCGAAGGAGGTGCTTGGCAGCAGCTGAAGCTCCTGCCGCCGTATTTCACCGGGGAGCGCGCAGAGCCCAGCTGTGGTGTGACATAGCCATCTTGCCTTTGAAGGGTGGCCCACGCTACAAAGATTGCTTTGTATGAAACTCCAACTGGCTGGAAGTTCTTTGGAAACTTGATGGATGCAAACAAGCTGTCTCTGTGTGGAGAGGAAAGTTTTGGTACGGGTAAGTCAGCGTTCCCGATCTCACCAGTGAGGGTATTATTTCTCCTCTTAGTTCTTTATGGTGCTGGGTAGCCTGGGATTTATCTTTCATGTGTGGTTGTTAACGCTTCTAAAATAATGAAAAAAGAAAAGCTTGCAAGAATCACTAGTGGAAATGAACACAATGCTAAAAGTTTTGTCAGGCAAGAGCTAGCTCTCCTTTCGGTTATTTAGGTAGGCGTATGTAGATACGCAGGAAGTTGAAGGGCCTCTTTACTAGCCCGGTCATTGAGTCTATGGGGACTAAGTGCAGTGTTAAATGTATTTTTCAACTCTTGGTGGCCAGGAAAACCTTCTAAATGTTTTCATTTCTGGAAAGAAATATGGTTTGGAGCATGCAGTTTTATTAGGGAAGGTTTCAGGTCACTATTAAATCTCTGAGCTTAATAGGGCCCTCATTTTCCTGTTCTAAAAACAAGGTATGATTTATAAAGTTTAAATTAACACTTGCCTTTGAACAGTCTAAGCAAGTTATTAGGTTACTGAGAAACAAAGCGAACATCTTAAGGAATTTACTAGGGGTGTGCGTGTGACACGAAATGTAGTGTTTGTGCAGGGAAGTTAAAGTGAGCAGATTTTGCCCTGCGTCGCAGCGGCGTGCTGGGAACGCGCAGGGTTCGCGGGAGGCCTCGGCAGTTTCTGAGTTCTCCCGTAGCATCTAGCACGTGGTTCTAACATCCTGACTGTGGAAGTGGAATCTTCCCTGCACGCAGGAGGCCAGCACCTCGTTCATACACAAAGGCCAAGTTTTTTCTGGTCTGAATTCTGCCCGAGGTCTTGTTTTTCCCGTTTTCTGAAGACAGGGGGCTGCTGGTGGGATGTGCGAGGCACGGGGGTTTCAGGGTATTCAGCTTGGCTGACATCAGGCTCCAGCCTTCTGTGTTTTCATTCCACCCCCCGTATTTCAGGAAAACGTTTTAGCCTGTGCGTGGGCGTCTCGCAGAGCAGGGGTGGCCTTAGGTCCCCAAATGCCTGAGACCAAGTGCTTTGTGGAACTGGGGTGCGCAACCCGACGTGAAAGGATTACCCCAGCTTTTCTGTAGCTGAGGGAATGGCATCACACGCTCGGGTTGAAAGGGGTTTGCTGTGGGGCTCACGCAGGCTTCAGTGGCAATATTTTAGCAATCAAATGCTATTCTAATATATGGGATTTGGCCTTAGGTTGGAAGGAAAGGGGAATTTCAGAAAATGTGGTATCTCTGTAAAGAAATCTTGAAGTAAATTGTGAGTAAAGAAAGAATTTGGAGTTTTGCCCGGAGTGATTTCAGCATGCGTGAAGTTTACGTTCTGGACTTTGGCTAATGAGAGGGCACTGGCATTTCAGTAAATAAATAAAAAACAAAAAGCAGCAAATGACTCATGGAGCTGCTGATAGGAGATGGCCTCTAACGAGCAGCTCTCTCAAATTGTTTCCATCTTTTATTGTGTGAGCAATGAGCTCATAGTTGCTCTCCATCCCCCAGCAGGTAAGTGACCCTAGCCTACAAATCCGGGTGACCGATTCCATTTGCAGCAGGGGCTGGGAGTTGGGGGTGTTGGCCCCGCGTCAGCATGTCGGAGTGGCCTTAAGCATTTTCAGGGCGGAGGGACAGATGAAGAAAGGAGTGTGGGACACCCCCCGCGACACGAAGTCGGTTTGCCCATATGGCAGACACGCTTCAAGGAGCGAGGAAGGTTGTTTGACAGCAAGTTGATGAGGAGTTGTTTGTAGCGGGGCAGAACGTGAGTGCGGAAGGGGAGAGAGGTGAAGGGGCAGCCAAAGAGACCCAGTAAAAACTGAAACAAACTGTGACCCGGTGGGACTGGGGTCCAGGAGCAATTAGAGTAATGCGACATGACAGACTTCCTGCTTGCTTTCTTGGGTATTTTATTCCAGCAATAAGCTGATACATCACATGGGACTTGTGTTTATTCAGCATTCCTCTCCATCACCTCTGTGCAGCTCCCTCTGCCACAAAGGACCGTGAGGATAATTTCTCGCTGCGTCCACAACAGTGGGATTTGTGTGAAGCGCCACGTACCCTGCGCCCCAGCCTTTCTCCCCGGACCGTTGCCCACGCTGGCAATTCGGGCGAGGGTAAAACGGCAGCTCTGGAGCGCGCTCTGCATTAGCAGGCGTCCCCTGGCTCCCTGGGCTTTCAGTAGTACCTGTTTGGAGGCTTTCCAGAGCTCCAAGGATGAAGCTCAGAGGTTGTGCATCTGTGGGGCGCGGTGCCCAACTCGCAAGCCAGAAGCATGGAGTATTGGGGCGCCCAGGCGAGGCCGGGCTGGGCTCTGCCGGCCTCGGGCTCTCTGCGGTGCTGGCTTGGAGGAATCCTCTTCCGGACAAAGCGGGGGCTTTCGCAGCCCGTCAGTGCCTGGCGCCTGGGCATGAGAGCAGGCACGAGGCGCTCTCCTGGATTCCGCAGGCGAGCAAAGCCCCTCCTTGCTCTGCTGTTTGCCCTCCGGCGAGCGGCTCTTCTCTCTGTCGCAGCGCGAGTTTGGAGTCGTTAGGGTTTGGCTTCCTCGGCGAGGGCTGATATTTTTCTTGGTGCTCAGCCAGAGTATGTGCTGATCAGAGTACGCTGATTTGGCAGAATGGACGTGACAGCTGCTTGAAGGGTCGATGTGAGTCCTTCCTGAGCTGCTCCTTTGCGTTTGCCTTTTTTTTTTTTTTCCTTTTTAATGACCTTTTTACTGTGCATTCCCCATTACTGCCTTGGGAGCAGAATTAAGGGCCTGTGAACGATGAGTGTGTGTGAGTTAAAAGGGGCCAAACGTTTTATGTGGGCTATAGCTAAAAGCAGATGATTTCTTGAACCATTTTAACAATACAGCAGGGATGGAGCTCACGAAATGCCTTCCATTCGTGAGTTTGTGTGGCTGCCAGTCGGATGGAGGCGAGAGGACAAGGCAGGGCCCTAGCACAGCCTCTGGCGTGCAAGGAGGTGGGAAACCTGTTTCTGCTGCGGCTCTCCGCAGGCTCCGACCACATCCGTGAGAAGGACGGGCTGTGGGCTGTCCTGGCGTGGCTCTCCATACTGGCCGCCCGCAAGCAGAGCGTGGAGGACATCATGAAGGATCACTGGCAGAAATACGGCAGGAACTTCTTCACCAGGTGAGGAAAGCACTCCCGACGCCTCGCGCTTGACTTCGCTCTGTCCTGTGCTCGACGCTCCGAGGTCGGAGCCCTCGGCACGAGCCGCATGTGCTTCCGCAGTGCTGTTCCCACCTCGCTGCCCCGGCTGTGGCCATGCAGCTGCAGTAACCACAAACTCCCCGAGCCGTTCGCTGCAGCAGGCAGCCTATCTGGGTTGGACAAACCGGTGGGTATTCACCTGTCACGATGCCCAGTTTGGGATTTGTTATTCTGAACATAAATCTACCAAGTAGCAAAGTCCGCAAAGGCTGTACATTTTATATATGCGAGGTTTTTTTTTTCTTTTAATGGAGATTTTTTGTCTTGCAAGAGTCTTTTTTTGCCACTAGGACAGTATGTTTCTTGAGACCACAAATCCCAAGTTAATTTGCAATATCTTCAGTGGTGGCGATGTCTTATTGAATGGCTGCCGAGCTCCGAGGCCGTTATTTACCTGGTGGCGTTTCTATCCAGTCCCCAAATATTCTAATTTAAACTGCAGTAGGCGTGGAAGATGAAAGGAGAAGGATGCACATACACAAAGGTGGGAACGCTGACAGGAGGGAAAGCGTTAGGCACAAATCTTTCAGCTTGGAAGACCTACATGAAAATTTGGTCTCAAACTGCCAAATGGAAGAACTTGCCATTTTTTTCCTTCTCCCCCCCCCACCCCAGCCAGCACACATCTGAGGCATTAAAACCTGTGGAAAAAATGCCAAAGTCTAGAATAAAAAGGGCAGTCTTCGCACCAGAGGTCTGTTTGCATAGCAGGCGAAGTGCAGGGGTGGGCAGGTTAGCAAGCCTGTGCGTGCTCCATCTAGCCAACCGGGCACAGAAAAGCGGCGCAGATCACGCTGGCGATCAGAGTACAGAGTCTCGGGTCCTGACGTGTGCTTCAGCCGCTCTCTGCTGCCTCTCCTGCCCGGATTAATGCGATGAAAGCTGGCACTGGGATGTTACCGTGGGCTGCAATCGCACCTGCGGTTTGCTGTGGGGACGCACACGAGGATGTTCAGGCGAAATTGTTACTGTGAAGAACCTGTCGAGATCCTATCGGCAGAATTAGAATAAATTCTTTGCAGTCAGCGTTGCTGGAGTCCAGCCCTCTGCCTTCGATAACACCTAGCGCAAGATGCTGTGCTTTCATCTCTCCTGACGCCGAGTGCCTGTGATACGTCGGAGTGTGTCCCACGGACCTGTATGGGACCATATCGACGTTGCTGCATGCAGATCCTTTTTCCCTTTTTCCCTTTTTCCCTTTTTCCCTTTTTCCCTTTTTTCCTTTCCCTCCTTCCTTCCCTTTCCCCTCCTTCCCCTCCTTCCCCTCCTTCCTTCCCTCCCATAGAGACCATACCTGGGCCAGACCGCAGTGTTTAAACATCCCTTTTTCCCTTTTTCCCTTTTTCCCTTTTTCCCTTTTTCCCTTTTTCCCTTTTTCCCTTTTTCCCTTTTTCCCTTTTTCTTCCCTTTTTCTTCCCTTTTTCTTCCCTTTTTCTTCCCTTTTTCTTCCCTTTTTCTTCCCTTTTTCTTCCCTTTTTCTTCCCTTTTTCCCTTTTTTTTCCCTTTTTCCCTTTTTCCCTTTTTCCCTTTTTCCCTTTTTCCCTTTCCCTCCTTCCTTCCCTTTCCCCTCCTTCCCCTCCTTCCCCTCCTTCCTTCCCTCCCATAGAGACCATACCTGGGCCAGACCGCAGTGTTTAAACACGGGCACCACAAAACTTTGCTGCTTACTCCAGCCTCCCCTTCCTAACGTTTGCGTTATGGTGACTGGTTGTAGATACGACTACGAAGAGGTGGATGCAGATGCAGCTAACAAAATGATGAAGGATTTGGAGACAGTGATGTTTGACCGCTCCTTTGCGGGGAAGCAGTTATCAGCTGGTGACAAAGTCTACACGGTTGAGAAAGCTGATAATTTTGAGTACAACGATCCCGTGGATGGAAGTGTCTCCAAAAACCAGGTGGGCATAGCCTGGCCTGGGCTGAACGTGACCTCGGAGGGGTGTTCCACTGGGTATTTTGGGCTTAGTCTTTGCCTGTTGCATTTGCACCCGCTTTGAAGTCAAAGATTGCATTTGTCACTTGGAAGTTTTTTTCTGCCCTGTGTTTGCTGGTGGGATCCTGCCCTGCCTGAGGGAAATTGCTGCCTTGGAGAGGGAAGGGTCTGGAGGCTGCTCCAGCCCCAGCAGGGCCCAGAGGGAGAGCAGAGCTTCCCCACAGCCACCCCAGAGGGGAAGGGGCGACGGAGCCGAGCTGAGAGGGATCCTCTGGGCGGTGGGTCAGCGGCTGAGGAACGGCTCGTGCTGAACGAAGGGCTGAAACCCCACTGGAGCACGAGGCCCAAGCCCTCCCGCTCAGGGGCTGTCTTGTCTCTAGCACGAGACCCCCAGGTTGCCGCAAACAGACCCTCCCTGGGTGCCTTTGTCCCCGAGGCGATGGCACTCCCCGTGCTGGTCCCGAAGAGGGCAGGCGGCAGTGCGGAGCGGCTGCAACGGGGGTGGAGTTCCAGGCTGCAGAAGCCACGGGGGTATTAAATACACGTGAGATGAGTCACCTGTCACCAGAGATAATTGGAATAAAAATGTCCTCTAGATGGATTGGTCTGACAGCAGAACGTGGAAGCATAGTCAGTGGGAAGGAATAATGGCGAAATCCTGCAGGAATGATCGCCTTGCCCGTGGGGATGGCAGGAGCATCTTCTGTGCGTCCTGCTGTCGTGGAAGAGCAGCGGGTTGGTGTCCAACACAGAGTTGGACCCTGGCTCTTGTTTCCATGCAAGTGCTGGGGCGAGGGACCTTACAGCAGCAACGGGCTCTGTGTTCAGGAGCTCCAGCAGGTCCTCCAGAGTGGGTTCGGAGGGACACTCGCTCCTGTGGGAGTGGGGAAAGGATAATAGAGGGGCCTCCTGCGGCTCCCTGAAGAGGAGGAGCCCTGGGATTGTGCAGGTCAGGCATAGCCACGCTGGGTCTCACGGAAAATACATTGGGTATCCAAGAGGCGTGTGGCTGAGAGGCTCTTCCCTCCTTCTCTCTTACCAGGGCTTGCGGCTCATCTTCTCTGACGGCTCCCGCATTATCTTCCGGCTAAGCGGTACCGGCAGCGCTGGAGCAACGGTGCGGCTGTACATCGACAGCTACGAGAAGGATGCTCAGAAGATACACCAAGACCCACAGGTAAGTCTGGCATCTCAGCTGCTGGCTCCCAGCCTTCCTCAAAAGCTTGAGCCTTTGCTTATCACGGCTTTGCTCAGAGCCATGTGGAGGCACCAGGTGTTTGGAAGCGAGGGCTTTGGGGTCTGTAATCCCAGCAGAAATAGATTTATTAAAAAAAGCTCTGTGTGGAACAAGCGTTACTTGCGCAGAATCCCTCACAGCTGCTCCTGCAGTCGCACAGGAGTTTTCCTGTTTCTGTTCCATCTGTGGCTGGTTGCAGGTGTGGGAGGACGCTGCTCCAGTCCTGAGCTGACCTGCTGGTTGACACGTCGCATCGCTAGGGATGGAGCGAGCTCATTCCTGTGCCAAATTTGGGAAATACTTGTGCAAAACAAATGAATTTGGGGGCAAAAGGATGCAGTCATATGTAGGGTGACACTGAACTGTTCTGTACTAAGTTTAATACTTGTTCTTTACAGCATCATTTAAAAATGCTGTTGACCTTTCATGTAGGCACTGGAAGGAAAAGAATCCCCATTTTCTATTCCCCAGCAAAGAGTGTTTGAGCTCTTTTTGCATAACTTACTCTGCACTTATTGACAGAAAGACTGCAAAACCCCCCACGTTCTGAGAGGCACGAGCTGAACTTGTGATTGAACAGTGCTGTGCCGTTGGTGCAGCGGGGTTTAGGGTACGGCACAGTGAAGCGGCGGTGCTGGGCTTGGGGCGTCCCGGGCTGACAGCGGAGGGGAGGGCGGATGCAGCATGTGTGGGCTGCACGCGCCGCTCTGCTCCGCCGTTCTGAGCCGTCTCTTTCCTCTCTGCAGGTCATGTTGGCACCTCTCATTTCTATTGCACTGAAACTTTCACAGCTTCATGAAAGAACCGGCCGCACCGGTCCGACCGTCATAACTTAAAGGCTTGGTCAGACACCGTGCTGGAGTGCACACCGAGTGAGGGACATCAGCCTGTCTCCCCTTTTCATTGTCCAATCTGTCACTAAAAGAGGAATATTAATTTTATCTCTGTATTTAAGAACACTATTGAACGGCTAAGGATAGACAATAAAACCCAGCCCCTGTCGGCACTTTGTGTGCACATTGCTGCGCTGCTTTTCTGCGTCACACAGCACTGCTGGCGATTTGTGTATGGTGCTCATTAGCACAGCCTTTTGGTTTAGCATATGTACTTTTATTTTTGCTTAAAGAAAAGGCTCCAGAAATAACAGAGAGACTAAAGTCTTCAATAATACAGAGGGTTTTTTCTGTCTTGGAAACTTTCCTGGAAAAGCAGCACAAACACTTTATCCTTGTTAATACATAGTCATTTACATGTGATGTCTCTGAATAAGCAATGGCTGTTTATTAAGGCTGAGTGTTTTTGACTTGGGTGGATTTTTCCCTTTCAAAAACAAATTATGTAAATTGACCTCCATTTGCCTTCTGTATGAGAAAAAACCCACAACAAACCCTCCCCACAGAAATGAGCAGTAACGAGCATCGCAGGATATTAAAGTGGTATCAGCTACAATTACTGTTCAGTGCTCTTTTATTTCCTGACCTCATGATAGGCTCCCTTTTGAAGAAGGAAAGATCGTTTTGGTGAGCTCTTCTTTGGTTGTCCGTGGATGGTAAGATCGCTGGAATAACCAGATTTGCAGACATTAATGTGCAATGTCTTAGCTGAGGGCACAGAGAGGGTCCCTTGGGAAGCAGCTGTAGCTGTTCCATGTTAGCGGCCTGTGGCTGAACTTTCCTGCCCTTCTCCTGGAAGCCATCCCCTCGGAGCGGAGCCGCGTTCCTGCTCCCGGCCCGACCGGCTGCCTTCGCCCTGGAGAGGACGGACGTGCTCGTGCCGTTGACCTGGTGCCCCTCATCCATGGAGGTGATGCCCTTCAGCAGTGCAAGGGGACTCTGGAAAATAACCCCAGGTAAACCCACAAGACCCCGCTGGTTTACTCCCTCCATCTCGAGGCTCTTGCGGCTTAAGCTCTGTCAATAAAAGCACTCATGTTAGCTTTAGCGATGCGTTCAGGTGACTTTCCCCTTTTGGTTTGCTTACACCTGTCGCACAAACCCCTGCGACACCGGTGCCCCGTCTCGCCCTCTGCCCTGGCTGGGTCCTTCCTCACAGCGGTGAGGCGTCTCTTCGGACCGCCAGACGCCTCCGCCCGGACTGGCGGCGCAGAGCTGCTCTGGCGTGGGGCGCGTTAGAAACCAAAGAACCTCCCAGCCTGCTGCTGCTCGTCGTCTGCCTGCGCCCTGGTGCTGGATGTCGCCGGGCCGGGGGCACAGATGTCCCCGCTCACTCCCGCAGCCCGGCTCTGCTGGGCAGCCGTGCCCTCGGGATGCTCGGAGAAAAGGTCTGTGGGGAAAGCTGGAGCCGTGCCGCTTCCACCGCAGCCCTGCCCGCCCCGTGCTCTGCTTTTGGACCAGCTGCGGCCTCTGCGTTGGATGGATTCAGGTCAGCAGCGCAGAGGAATACCAGGAGATGATCCGAATAAGCCCTGTGTCGTCTGTCTGAGGAAGCAGTGCTTGTGCTCAGGGTCTGGCCACAAACTATAGCAACCAGGATTCCTGTTTACAGTGAAGGATAGCAACAGCAGCACATGGTTTTCTCCCACTCCAGGCAAAAAGGAAAAACCAAACCCAAACAACCCATGTGCATGGAGACAGACCAGCGTTTCCGTCCTAGTGCGTGGTGGGGGAGAGGAGCTTTGGTGATCAGGATCTTCAGAAAAACCAGACGTTGAAGGTCGGTTTCCAAAGTCCATGTGCTGAAAGGGCTGAGAGGCCAACGGCTGTCACCGAAACCGTGGTGTGCCGGTGCAGAGCTCTGCCTGTGCGGCCGGACTCGCTGCTGCGCCTCTTCCCTCCGCAGCCGCTGGCGATTTTTGGTCACCGAAACCTTGGTGTGCGGGTGCAGCGCTCGCCCGGTGGGGCCGGACCGGCTGCTGCGCCTCTTCCCTCCGCAGCCGCTGCAGAGCTGCAGATCCCTCCTGCTCGCGGTCTGCGGGGCGAAAGGAGAACCTCGCGGGAGGCAAGGCAGGTGCAGAGAGCAGCAGGCGCGTTCCTCTCACAGGGAGTGCAAAAGCCTTGCCCAGAGCAAGCTGGGCTGGGTCACTTAACAAAACACAACTGAAGAAACACAAAATCCCAGCAAACATTGCGGCTTCTGCATTAAGGGGAGAAAGGGGAAAAATAAACCCTAAATCAAACCTGCATTGCATGTCAAACCCGGCCAAGGGCAGTTCAGTATGGTCCAGCACGTACTCGTTACTTGCGTCCTCACGTAGGCGAGAGGTGTGCCAAAGCGGAATGGTGCAATCCAGGCACGTCCACGGTGTGAGCCGGGCGCTCTGCTCCACTTCGCTCTCTGTCAAAAAACACGCGCGGCTGGAGCCGGAGGTCGGCAGTGAAACCTGGAGCCTCCCAGGTGTAAATCCTGGCTTCCAGCCTTTCTCGGGGTGGCATCAACCGCCCGTCCCTCTCGTGCGCTGCTCAGCCGAGCTCCTGCCACGCTGGCACTTGGAGTAGAGGGACACCAGGGACACGGGACCAGACCCTGCAGCTTTTCACCACTGCCGTTGGGCGGCTGCTCTGTCCCCTTCCCCTGGCCCAGTGCGCGTGGGGGAGCAGGGGACTCATCTGCTACCTCTTCTATTCAAGTGAATCACTGCTGTGAAACCCTCTTTCTGATTTTTTTTTTCCCCAACATGTTTAATGGCAAACATCGATTTCAGTCCTCTAGCAGAAACTCTTGCTGCCCAAGAGCCCTTAGTGCTGAGCTACGATCAAAACCCCTCCTCTCTGCTGCTGCTCTGCGGCATGGAGCCATCTCGCTCTTCCCTTTTTAATCCGCAGAGGAGGTTTGTAACTGTTTTAGTGGAGCAAATGTTTGGAGTATTTGGGGCTGTAATGAAGGACTCCATTTCCGTAGCACACGTCAGGCATCGTTTGCACGGGCGCTCCGGTGGCTTTTGCCAAACGAATCCGTCTGGAAGCGTGAGCCGCACGGCCAGGAAAGGGCAGATGCAGTCAGCAAGGAAGCTTCCAAATTAATCTGGGGAGTCTCCTTTCTTCCGAGCACTTGAAAGACCAAGCCTAAATCTACTTGACAGCTTCTTCTGCAGAGACGCATATGGCTCGGAAACATTTGATCTCTCAGTCAGCTAATAACAAACTTGAAACCAATGGAAATCACAGAATCACAGATGTTCGGGGTTGGAAGGGACCTCTGCGGGTCACCCAGTCCAACCCCCTGCCGAAGCAGGGTCACCCA